TTTTTTTTTTTTTTTTTTTTTTTTTTTTTTATTCTATAAATCACTCTTATTTCTCTTTACATAATATATATTTTATATTTTAAGTTAAAAAAGATAAAAATGAAATCAAAGAAACGTGAGAAAAAAGATAAAAATAATACAAAGAAGCAGCTAAATCAAACGCAGATTTTTTTCCCATCCTACCGTTAAACCTATCAATTTCTAGTATTCAGAGCGTGTCTTTTACAGAGAGCGTATTCACGCCTAAAGATATAGACCTCGAGGACGGGGAGATGGACGATGCGGAGCGCGAATTAGAGGCATTCAAGAGGTTTTGTCTGCAGTCGGTACCGCCGCCACGCAAGGAAAAGGTCAATCTCAACATCAAGGACATCGTGCTAAAGAAGAAGTCATCCTCATCATCGTCATCTTCAGCAGCTACTGCTGTGATTGCCGCGAATTGATTTTTCTTTTGACTAACATTAGACGCTCCCTACCATTATTATTATTACCATCACCACTATTATTATCACTACTGCTGCTACTATATTCGCGCAAGCGCGTATATGTTTATTGGCTTGACGCAGAATTAATAGAATTAATAATTTCTAAATACAAGCACATGTTGATCAAAAAATTATTTCTTTACAAAAAAATCAATCTATTTATCATAGATCAGACAATAATATATTATACTGTATTGTCAAATTGTCTGGTGATTATTTTATACGAAAGCGTACCACTTCCAACATCATTCTCCTTTATGGATGTTCACATTACTCCGTAGGCAAATTCGTAGCACGCAAGGTTAATTCTAGCTTGCAGACCGCACTGCGTGCGCATAATATGCGCGCGCAACACTATTCTAGAGTTGATTTTGAAATTGTGATTTTATCATGAAGAATATTGCAAAATAGATATGTAGTCTGCGTGCATTTTAATTATGTACGAGTTAGAAAAAAATGTGCTCTTTCGTTATGCATATGAATTTAATCATTAAGAGAATTCTGCTACTTTTGCATCGAGCCAATTACTGACCGAATATGTATTGTAATACTGCCACGGCCGATACGCGTAAACACACGACCGACCGAAAACGCTCGTCGATTTTTCGGATCTCGGCGACGGAGTTGCGCCTAATTGTTATGAACGATCATCAAAAATGATGGGAAAAAACGCAATGGGATAAATAATATAAATGTACAAGAACAGCCACCGCAGTACGATACTGACGATGTTGTAAAAGAGGAGTAATAATATTGTCGTCGTGTCGTCGTCGTGTCGGCACCTAGTCGACTTCATATTTTTAATATATTAATAGAGCGTGTTATGTTCGTGATTTTTCTCTTCGATACAAGGAAGAGATAAACAGCGAAAAATTGATACTATTAGATAAAATGTACGCGAAAGAGATGGGTGACGCGTGGCATTTTCCTCGAGACACAGCGAGAGCCGTAGATATAATATGTTATATAAATATAAAATGTATGTATGTATATGTATATCTATAAATATAGTAGGAACGAATTTTCCCGTCGAGGTCGATATTGTGGAAATATCTGCCCTCGATCGTAATTGCGAAAACGATCATGGTGACACTGACATATAGTGTCTGGACGCGATACCTGCCCGAATCATGGTTCGATTAATAAAATCGTTCTCGCCATACGAGCAAAGAAGGATCGATAACAATGCGAAATATTTTTCGTCGTAATACCGACGATCGCATCGCGTCGCCACGATCGTGATCGCCGGCTTAGAAGCACAGTTCTCGATCGATTATCTTACTAAGACACGACACCACAGTACACATGGAGACATCTTTTTTCTTCATTTTTTCTTTTTTTTTTTCTTTTTTTTTTCAATAAAAGCAGATATGCATTTTTACCAAAGATCTTGCGTTTGTATCTTCTTCCTTATTATGGATTTATTTCCTGTGGTGCAATTTGACGATGGTACATGTTTTTCGCACTTTGTAGTAAAAGTCGTATTTTTGTATGGACTTTAAGATAATCTCACTAGCGATAGGTGAGTTAAAAGAATTTTAATAAAGATCAAAGATATCAGGTTGAAAAATTGAAAAATGGTTTATTAGATAATTTGTTATATTGCATACTGTGTAGAAAATTGGTTTCAATATATTTTCAGAAACGGCATATTTTTCTATTTTTCTTTTTTTTTTACCAGCCATGATAAATGACCTTAAATCTACTTGATAACTTTCA